ATGCGGTAGTTATATTATTATTCCGGATAGCTTTTTGCTGTTGGATAAATCAAGCAGCCTGACTGATCCATCAATGCTAGAGAGTTCAACGGAGATCAAGAATCGTAAGTCGCTGTTGAAGCAATATGTGCTATACTCTGCTGGACTTGTTCTATATTTTGTCCTGATGGTGCTCTTCGGCATAGCCGGCAATCACGTTGCAGGAGCAGTTCTGTTCGTTCAACATTTGTCTATCAGTATTGTCATATTTATTGCGATGCGGAAATGGATAAAATCGAGATTATTTTCGGTGTTGTTCGCGTTAGCCCTCTGTGTTATCTGGCTTAAAAGCTTAAATACAAGCTACAGATGGATAGTTAATAATACAATAGTTCTACTGGTTGCAGCAATGACTCGTTACGTTAAGTTCAGGAACTTTATTTCATTGCAAATATTCATGTGGCTTGCTTTTTTCTACGATGTTTTTGCTTTGAGTAAGTTACCCTCAGCCATTACATCACGCTTTTTCTCACTGGTGACACCTTGTAAGACCCTGCTTTGTGACATTTCACTTCACAACATCAGGTATGACTTACCAACAGTGTTCTCTGTTCAATTCGGTCCATCAACAAAACATGTTTATCTTGGAGCTGGGGACATCATCATCGGTGCTTTTCTCGCTAATTTTACGGCTGCGTTTTTCCACTCGAGAAAGCATCTTGCCTTTAACGTGTGCCTGTACGCTCTGGCAATCCTCGTTCTGATGAGCGTAACATCTTCCCAGTCGCCAGCTTTATTGACCATCGTCCCTTTCGGGACCATTGGGATATTTGCCAGCGCATTTTTGACACGAAACATCAAACGACTCTTTAATGTAGGCTAATGTCACATTCCGGTCCAAAAGACAAAATTATTTAAAATACCAATTTTATAATTAGTTCTTCTTCTGTAAGTTCAACCGTATTTTTGTACATTGTATGAATGGGAAATTTTGCCTATCTTAGTTTAGCAATTGTCAACAATCAAGTAAACTGTAAAGAATCTGTAAGTTCTTGCATATTTAGTAAACAAAACAGCAATCAAAATTCTTTCAAACCATATAGCTTACACTTGTTTCCATTCGCAGTTCTCTCTTGGCTTGCTTGATAAGCTAGTAAGTTTGCCGCTACCTTTTGGGAACTATTTGGTATTTGCACAGCATGTTCAAATACCAAAGTCCTGAAGAGGTTGCATGGAAGAAAAACTGTTGCATAGTGTTTCAGGTTGTTTAGGTAAAACTTTCTTGGGACAGGGCATTTGTTAAGCTTTTTCGTTTTTTGAAATCGAAATTACTGCACTTTTATTGATTGGCAATCATCGTTAATAAGTATAAAACATCCTGACATTTTGAAATGTTTCATTATTAGAAGCCTCAAGAAATCCAAAACAGTTAAAACTCTATTGAAAGGCATTTTACGTAACTTTATCTGAATGATTACGATGGGATTTCATTGGATTAAGTCAATTTCGTAAGTGGTTTCGACATCATCGGCAGGGTGATGTGAGTATGCTTTTAAAACTATCATTTTTTGCAATAGTTTTATGTGAACAAACTGGATTGTGAGAAGAATAAGCAAGATGGAGAAACAGGTCGAATAAAAGATCAATGACTTGGACAATGAATTTGATAATTAACAAATCATCATTACTACATCTTAGTTCTCCAAATTTTAGGTTGTGATCTTTGCTGCAATTAAAATTAAAGTATCAAATCTTTGAAAAAAAAATGGTTATGTAAAGTCCCTTAGAGTAGAGAAATCAAATAGTTGACTCTCACAAAATAAGCTTTCTTATAGCTAGCTAGCCAATGTCGCTCTTTCTAAAGGAGATATGATATTGGCGGCTTTAAAGCAAGGTACTGAACAAACATGGAAACATATTTGGTAGAAAATCAAGTTCATAGAGGCGTGAAATGTTTTTCTTAGATACTGTGGAAACAAGATGCTAAAACTTTTGTAATTAGCCTGATTTCAGCTGCGACGCGAATTTTATTTTAGAATCTTGTGTGTTGATTGGCCAATACCTTGGGAGAAAATAGAAATGGTGAGATCGTTCAGCCATTCGTGATTTTATTGCTATGATGACATTCTACGTGTGATAAAACGTTGAGGGAGAGACAAATTGGCAGCTACGCCTATTCAAACAAAAATTATTACCACAATTCTAGATCCTGAACATTTGTGCAACTAGAAATGAATTCATTGGACTACATAAACCTGTCTCATCCAGAGTCTGACTGGGTATGTATGTGGTGAGAATCATTTGAGGAAATCCCAATTTCAACTAATAGCGTAGTGAGGGGGAGGCAAGAAGGGGTGTACGCCCCCAACGGTAAAGGCTGTTTTCTGGATTTCCTTTGCCCTCCCCTTTCCAATCTTACCATCCGCGCTACGCTACTGATTAATTTCTGGACATGTTTATGTTATTCTGGACATGCAAAAGTGGATGAGCTGAGAAGTGTGTGACCAAAAAATTTTTAAGGCCACACC